ATGATGGATGAGAGTCGAAAAACAGACGCACCGATACCGAAGTTCTTAGGGCGGGACTCGAAGAGAGGGTTCTTCTGAGTCTTCGAGCTCGTCTTGGAGCCAAACGGCGCGGAGGCCGGCTTCTTGCTCGATCCCTTGGTGGCCTTGGGCTGGTCATTGAGACGAGGCAATCAGCATGGCATGTCTTGGCAGCATAGAGAAGCTGCCGCCATCGATGTGCACCCGGAGCTCTAACGCTCACATCCGCCCGTCCTGAGGACGAGCAGTTGCGAGCCCAGCAACCGCTCTGCGTCATAACAGCCCTCGCGCATGCGGGTAGAGGGTGCTCGGCTAGAGGACAGTCTTGCTAGTGCGGGAGTATCCTGCCTGGGGATAGCGTATGCGAGTTAGAGCACAAGCCGCGGCGGGTCATCCAGACTGAAAACGCACCATCCATCCCAAATCTCTCCCTCTAGCAGGACCCCATTGCTCCGTGTGCACAACGAGATCCAACAGCGCTGTACGAGGGCTCACCATTGTCGATAGTTGATGTCTTGACGGCGGCTTGAGGAGTGTGTCGGCTTGGGGGAACGGGATCGCAGCGACAAGCTTTCGTGCGTCCTACGGAGGCTTCAAACTCCGCTTCACGTTTGCTTCCAACCCTTCCAGACTCCGACTGATTCCACAAGCTTTGGGCACTCACGCGTGCTGCTCATGTCTGACCATGTTCGGTCTCGATCCACGTACTCACCTGCCTTGGTAAAAGCAGCCCGCTCCTTGAGTCGCTGTACTTAGGTCCCATGAAAAAACAAGAAAGCTCGTGTCAATGATACACACTATCTAGTTCTGATGGTCCTGGAGAGTACGCATACGGAACTCGGTTGCCCTGTTCCCCCGACCTGTACGTACACACCTCTGCATACACACCGATTGAATACGACTGCTTCAGGATGTATCGCACTTTCTCCTACACCAGACCTCCATCTCGCACATGCGACGGACGGACATGTGTTCGAAGATACGTTCTTTCCCTTGCGTCGATAAAGCGTCCTGCGGCAGCGGTTGCGCCCCAGGCACCTCCACGATGTGATGAAAACGCGACATGGTACCTAGACTGTACGTCAACATGTGCCCACCATCCATGTCCGAGTCCGTGTTCGCATGGTTCCCAAGGCCCGTTTCAGGGCAGTCATGGTCTTCTGTACATCCGTCAGAAGCCTGTCAAACAACCGCAGACACTAGTGCTCTTGTGGAACTACCTCCATGGTGGACTCAGTAACCTACTTTGGCATATGCAGTCTTCGTCGTGCCCTGGCCATCTTATGCCCATTGTACTACTCTACGCCTTCGTGATCGATGCGACCCTCTTGACGCACACTCCGCTTGAACGTGTCTTCCTGCCTGTGTCGCAGCAATACCGGCCGCACAAACATCGCCACAGCAGAGAATGGTACGTTATACTGATACATTCACGACCCCTTGACGCAGTGTGCTTCGGGCCGCAGTAAAACGTCCCATCTCATCCGTCAAGGCCTGTCGTTCATATGGACCGTAACGGCTCAGCATCGCTCTCACTTGATTCACCGTTCTCTCAATGGTCATGGCCTACGCAGCCGCTGTCAAATGTTTAGTGCACGTAGCCCAGTGCTCGGATGGTAAAGGCTGCAGATCGCGCGCCTAAGAGCCGCGCTGTCAGGACTACGAGACTTCGGTCACTCAACGTAATCTCGTTGTCCAAGTTCGCAAACTTCTCTTGCTCGCAACAATTGTAATGCGCCACAAGTAGCAGAGCCCGCAGGGACTCCGGTTGGCGATCGGGCGTACAAAGGCTTCTAGTGGTACAGATACACAAACGTTCCGACGATCGTACCCCCCAATACGTACACGGAAACGAGGCCTCCCCACTCCAGCCATAGCACCGGTCAGCTGTCTATGCTGTAGGTACGTAGTGGCCCGCCCATCGCAGACATCTATCTTACGCCGTGGATACCGCAGGCGTCCTGTGTGGCACGAGATGTCAGTAGCCAGCGACCGCAGCCGCGCGAAACCACGCGCCGCCGCTCCCTCCACCCCAACCGGTCGATTCGCCCGTACCAATCCTTGCGGCCGCCACCACTCAGCAAGCGATGCAGACCCGAATGGGAGAGCTTTCGCGAGGCATGAGTACGTGGCACCCAGGGAAGGTACGGGGTGCACCCGGCTGGTGTGGACGCAGACGTCGGACACGCTTCGTCGGACTTTTTCAAGTGTAGTGACTGAGGAGCGAGTGGCAGAACGAAGGGCGGATGCAGGACGAAGGTGAGGGCATAGACTCGCCTGGTTTTATACAGGTCTGGCTTTGCCACTGTTCCGGGTGGTCGGACGCAGAGACATGCGCAGCTGCAGATGGGTGGCACTAAGCAACGTCCGACGGGAGACCGGACAAAGGAGGCGGCTATGGCAGAAGGAAAGGGGGTGAAACATCAAGCTTCATGTCGAGGTTGGCGATTCTCTGAGGAAACTCACCTCCCTTTATACTCGCTGGCTGTGCGTTCGTGGCTCAGGCATACAAGATCAGCGCGCAATGGCCCAGAGGCCTCCGCTCCCCGCGCAATCGAGATAAGAGTCGGAGCTAGCCTGTATATGTCGAAAACCTTCCGATGCAACCTGTTACGACAGGATTCCGTATCGCACGCGAGCAGTTGACACGATGCAGTCCCGCACGAAGAACAGGTCGCGTGGCTCGCGGGCCCAATCCAAGCGCGACTTCTGATACGCTCTGCGTGCTTTCGATAGGCCTGCTGCCGCACACCGCGCCTCGCTATGTTTGCGCAGCGTGATTGACGGTCTGAGAGACCAGGCCTGGCCACGATGACAGCGATTCGCTCGGCTGCGGGTTCTACAAATTGAAGGTACAAGCTATCTGCGCGCGGGGCGCACGGAGGGGACGCGGGATCAGAGAAGAGCGAATCGAGAGGTAGCGCCAGGATCGCGAGACATGATGCAAGAAAGGGCGCTCCATCGCAGGGAGGAAGGTGCGGAACCGCTGGCTATGTTCCTGCGCACCTCAGTGCCACTGCCGTGTAATCGCCGGTCAGAATACGTACGAGAAATCACAATGTCTTCGGTATGTATTTGTATTGCGATAACAGACCAGGCGTCCTATCTCCCTCTGGCCTTCGCGAAGGCGGCGATATCCATAATCACCGAGTCTTCTCTGGGTGTAAGTTCCAGTTGGGCATTGCTAGGCCCGCTACTCCGACAGTGTGCCGAACAACCGTTGGGAGGAAGATACAGCACGGTGCTTTGCTGATCTGATCTGCTGCCGCGTCCAGGCACAAATGCGATATAAACCTTCTCCACCAGCCGTCGCTCTGTGAGCCATCGACCCTCACCCCCAGTGAGAACTTACATGGGCTCAGCTGTATAAGGTCGATTTGTAATGTATGACGTCGGAAAACCCGACCTAACCCATAATTTGGCAGTACACCCGACTTTGGCTGTATGTCGTTGTATGAACTCGGGTGGTCGTCCGATACCAACCAAACGCCGTTGGACTGGGTCGGGCGCGGCCGTTTTCATTGGGTTAGGCGTGGTTGCTGTCGAGACCCTTTGTATCAGAACATTTTCGCATCATCGTATTCTATTGTATGTCGTTGTAAAGCTACACAGTGGAATACAGCTACATTCAGGTATTATTGAGTACAGGGGGAGAACACTGGATGCCGTTGGATCACATTGGGATCAGCCCATGGTGCCAATGGGGCGCACATGCAGCGGCGTCGACCCCGCCCGCAAGGAAGAGAAATAGACGCGCACGATGTCTAGACCTCCTAACGCCGAATTGAACGGGCCCGTCGTCGACACTGTCAGTGTTGGAAAGGCGATCGGATCAGTAATATTCGGCAATGGGACTCAATAGCGGTGCTAGAAACGTACCATCTATGACGCGCGTCCGAGCCTCTATGTCGACATAATGGTGAGCAAAGGAAGGCGATACATGCGGCTGAACGCACCTGGCGCTCGGCCCGACTCAGTGACTTGTAATGGGCCTCAAAGGCGTCCTGGGTGCCGTCCGTCTCCGTGTACCATCTCCGTGCATATATCCACCTGGAAAGAACGTGTGAATGAGGTACTCGAGGCGATCAGTGTGTGAGCGAACAGTACGTACTTGGCCCCTTGCATATCACCTGGGGGAGGCCAATGCGACGTCTTGCGAGGCGCACGAGTTTTTTTCGGGGCGGGCGTCTTTGCGGGCTCGGCAGGGGGTTGCTCCGAAGGGGTAGAACCCCCAGCAGCGACGTCTTGGGGCTGGGGAATCGGGGCTGGGTCCGGGGCCACAGAAGGAAGACCGACATCGAGGGGGGGACCCATAGGCACTTGAATAGGATCAGATGACGCCTCGGGGTGCGACAGGGACATAGACAACGGCGTGAGTGTTGTTAGCGACGCAAGGGACGACAGTGTGGGATGGGGAACTTGGATGGACTGGGACGAACTAGTAACAGGTAATGAGGCAGAGGGGACGGATAGGGAGGGAGACGCAGGTGCGACCAAGGGGTCAGACAGGGGAAGTCTACATGATGAGGAGTCGGGAATGATTGCGGGACGTCGTTCAAGCTGCAAAGCAGTCCTGTGGGCAACAATAACGTATGTCAGCAGGCTGCCAGACGTGTCAGTTAATAGAACCGACGTGGATGTCGATAGCTGGGGACACAAATGAACGTTAGCAAAAAACGCGGCTTGTGGAAAGCAAGGGCATTACCACGGCCAGCAGGCTGGGAGCGGCTCGCTGCTTGCCCTTGAAAGCATTGGAGGGAGTCGCAACAACATCAACTAGTTGCGATGGCGCCAAGGATGATTACGGCTCCCAATAGTACACGACATTGAAGATCTACGTACCAACGGTTTGTGCCGCTCCGTCTGAGTCTATGCGGGCTTGCTTTCGAGGTCCAGTCGCTGCGTCGTCATCACGGGAAGGCCGCTTCGAAGTGCGGCGACTATGGGGGGGCTTTGACGTACGGGCGTTGTCTTGTCGCACCGACTCCGACTCAGATTCTTCCAAGTCCGAAGCACTCTTGATGGTGTGCAGGGCGTCGTTGAGGTCGACAGTCTCCGTGTGTGATTTGTCCCACTTGCGGGTGACCTGTTCGTAATACGAGTAGTACATGAAAATAGAGCCCTTCGCGTTGTTGTGGCAAAGCTGGAACAGGGGAAATTTTTTGCGCAGCGCGGTGTAAAAAAGCTCCTGTAACCATATGTCAGTGTCGCCCCATTTCCTAGGGAGCTCGTATCGAGCCGTGCGGGCGAGGTTGAGGAAGGTACGGCAGAACTTCCGGGCATCGTTGATGTAGTCGCCGTCGGCAGGAGTGCCGTCAATGTGCTCCACGTAGGGGGCGGTGTGGTTGATCCCCTTCGAGGACATCGCCTTGCCTCGTACGGGTTCCTCCCCGATCCGCGTGGTCTTGGGGTTGTCGCGCTTCCACTGATTCCAATCTCGGAGAGTAAAAAATTTGAGCTGGGTCAAGGGCAGGAGGAGTGATATGAGGTCATGTTTGGGTGATGTCAAGTGCGAGCTACATACGTTCGGAAATTCTTTTTGTTCGCGCACACAGTCATAGCCTAGCGGCTCTTTCGGCTTAAGCGACTGCGTCGCCACGACAGATTCGAGGAGGAGACGTTTGAGAATTGCTGTGGGGAATCAGGAGACGACCCTCATGCATGTTTTGAAGGCCTACCTCGGCTGTCGTTGGTATCATTGGTGACATTGGCCGCCTTGTTGTCTCCCCTGGGTGGGCGCCACGGTGAGCACGATGTCATTTACGAATAACGCACTCACTTGAAGTCTTCGAACTGCATGCGCAATGCGTGGAATTGTTGACTGCAGGTGTCCAGTGTGGGCGGGGCCATCAGAATGGTGGGAGCCGACGTACCGTAATTCGAGGTTTTCTTGCGCGACGCTGGTAAAATGCCGACTGTAGGTACGCAGGGTCAGACGGTCCTATAACAATGTGACGCCAACGTACCGTAGCTCCAGGTTGTCTTGTTCAAGGCGTTGCAGCCGCGCTCCCATTTCCATATATGAGAGGGATGAGTTAGAGGATGGGAGGGGCGATGAGAGTGAAGTGTTCTATGAAAAGCTGAGTATATGCGCGCCATTTGGTACTTCAAAACGAACCAAAGGTGATACAGAATGCATGTATGCGGCGTGATGATCGATTGCGGGAGAAAACATAGTATGAGGAGAGTATGTAGGGGGGACCTTGGAGGCGGAGGGGTACTCAGCGGCAAGAGAAAAAGGTTGGGCCCCTTCTACACGATGCGAGACAGAAGGCAAAGAAAAGGGTGTGCTGAACGGGGATACATGCGAGCGTGATTGTGAGGAATACGTATCATCAGCATGAGCTCGGCGGAAAATGGATTGGGAGCGAGAACGAGACGGAGAACGAGAGTGTGATTCGGCATTCGAATGAGGGCGTGATGGAGCCAGGTCATAATTACACAGTTGGGACGGTAAAGGAGGAGATGGACTACGTGATTGTTGAGACATTGTTGGCGTGGGGCGTCGTGGGCTGGATGAGAGGAGGAAGGTAGACATGGCACGCACAACGTCTCGCTGGGCTCGTCTGACGCCCATGACCATATTAGGTATGCAGGGATTTGCATGATTGTCGTCTTCGCGCCTTCTATGATTTGCCTCTGCTGTTGCCTCTTCTGACCCTCTTTGCCTCTTCTGACCTTCTCTGGGCCGACCCGCTTGCCCGCTGAACTCCTCTAGCCTGGTTGCACCATGGACGCCATCCACTTCATCCGCCGTCTAGCTGCAAATGGTCCACCATATCCAGGTGACACACCTCGTCCGGTCATGGACTTTCTGACATCCATCGAGGCAGACGGCAATACTTCCGAAGATGCGCGGTATGTCGCGCTGTGTGCATAGTGGTCTCTACATTGCTGATTTCCGTCAGGCCAAATAGAACTGATTATAGCTCGCGATACTTTCTGGAGGCCTTTGAGTTGTTCCCTAGGCATCCACCAACGGCGGACGCCCCCGCCCGAACAAAGCTGACGTACACTCTCCTCCGCCTGGCCCTCTTCTGCGCGCGCGAGGCTTACCTTCTGGATGGCATGGACTCTGGGCGGGCAGACACACTGGACTACACCACCGCGGGCCCACTGTACTTGGAGCTGGACGACAACTTCGGAGACGTATTGTCAAGTTTATTCGATGCGAGTCCTCTAGGCAAGCTTTTGGATGAGATATGGTGCGTGGCAATTTTTAGGACCCTCAGTTGATACTAACACAATCACTACTCCGGGCTCTCGTCTGAGCATAGCCCCTCATCCGACGACGACCCTAGTCCTTCCGTTCGCCCGGCCTGTGATCCTCCTCCCGTTCGCCCTGCCTGTGACTCTCTGCATTTCGATTCCCATGCCCACAAGGAAGTCTGTCGTGAGGTTCTCGAGGATCGTGCGGGTCACCGTCGTCTCGTCCTTCCCATCGAGACCCCACCCACACTTCCGGCCATGCTACCCATACGTCTCCGCATTGCGATCGGCTCGTCGCATCGCTTCTGTTCGTAGTTCCACGTCGCGTACAGCGGAGCAGGACGATGAAGCTCCAGAGGTTCAGGAGGGGCAGTCCGAGGCTTGCATCAGGTATCGTCGTCTGAATCCTCGTCGTCTGCGAGACTCTCCTCGCGTCCAATCCATGTCATGTCGAATCCTAGCCTGTCCATAACAAAAAAGCGATTTGAGTACAATTCAGCAGCATGGGGATCCTCAGCCTCCTCGCGTCGGGGCGTGAGAGGCACCATGGCCACCACCGACTTGATTTGTTTGACATCCACGACTTCGCGAGACTGCTCTCCTCGATAGCGACAGGCCATGAGGACGCCATGCGTCTCGCGCAAAATCGCTGGATCAGGTGAGATGAAAACGGACACCATGGCCAAGGTGAAATCAACATCGTCCGTGCCCCCATCCTCGTGCATCCTCTTCAGTCGGAAAAAGTACTGAACCTCCGCGAAACGATCGTCTGCAAGCTGAACATGACACGGCTTTGAGTGAGCTCGCGTCATGGATATGTAAGTGTAACATGGCGCACCTTGACCATACGTGAGCGATGCACTGGCCGACCTCGCCTCTCGCCCTTCATCTCCTTCCAAGCGGTGCGGGCAACCTGGCCGTTCGGGAGACGCAACCGTCCCCACTTGGCGACACGAGGTCGCCAGCCCTCGGGAGCCTGAATGGCGCGCTGGGTAAAAAAGGAATGCAGCGCGACGCCGTCGACGTCAGAGACAAGATGGGGAGTGCGAGCAGTGGGATGGAGGAGAACATATCGATCTCCAAGCTCGACAGCCCCGGCGGGCAGTCGGATGGGTTCCTCCAACGCGTCCGGGAACATGGCTACGAGAGCGCTGATCTGAGCGCGCCGCAATCCGCGGAGTGACAAGTTTTCGTACGGTTTGACATGGGAGCCTATCTCCCTCGTCAGATTCCCAATAGCATTTTCGAGAGGCCACTGCGAGTGTAGCCAGGCCGGTCCCACACGGACATTTTCGGGCATGAGGTGTACGAGCGCGTGCAAGGCCTGGCGACAGAAGTGGAGACGATCGACACGACGCGCATAAAAATTCTCTTCGAATTCTTCTACGTATTCGACCAACAACTTGTGTGCAAGTGGCCTTAGGTTGACCGGGGTTTCGAGCAGGAGGGCAACGCGAGCACCAGCGATGAGCTTGCAAAAATGATAATGGTGCTTTGGTTTCTGGATCGCCCATAGCAAGCCCGGTAGAAGCCCATAGAAATAGTACATATATTCCCATGCCTTGTAGCCACTAGAGATCTTCTCCGCAGGGTTACGAGGCGGGCGATCAAAAGAGCCAGGGAGATAGAGAGAGGCCTCGGCAACCAGTTTCCCATGCGCCTGCCACACAGCATCGCCCGACAAGCACGCCCAATCCCAGTCGTCCACAGAATCAGTATCAGATCGCCCCAGTTTGCCCCGCAGTAGGCCCAGTACAAGCTCAGTCATATTCAGCGTCAAGAGGTGCATGATGTCGGCAGGAAAAGTCCCAGGAAAACCACAGTTGATAGGAAGTCCCATGAATATTGACGGCTTTGCGATGCCCGTTTCGAGGCGCTTCTTGACATATTCCCCATGGGTGCGACAGGCGAGAAGCTCCGACAACTGACGTTCATAGCGCTCGGTGTTGGTCTCCTCTCCGGGGGGCTCGCGCACCGAGTAGTCAGGATGAGCGCTACCGCGCACACGCTCATAGTCCGGGTCCGAAGGTTTCAGCATGGCAGCATAGTAGTGGCCGCCGCCCCCAGGTTTGCGACGTCCCTTGAGAGGACAGAACAGCCGACAGCCATGCGCCCCAGAGTGCCCTACAAGTCCGTTCATGTATGCCATAGCCGGTGTGTCGCCTGTAGCAAAGAGTACAATGGGGCGCGAGCGCATGAACCGTTGGCGATAGGAGTCCCAGATTTTCAGAGGGTTATTCTGAAGAGCAGCAACGTGGTATAGCCCAGGGAAAAGGAAGGAATCGATATTTTTGGGTTTCTTAGGGCCCGGAATGAACGCGCCCGGAAGCACGTACCGCTTCTTGTACCGAACGTCAGGCGCCAAATCGAAGAGAACCCAGATGTATATCCAGCAGTCAGACTGTTTTGATTCGTAGAGCTGGGCGCCGTCAAGAGAAAGCATCAGAACCAGATCGTCTTCCAGAATAGTCCCAGCGTCGACCAGCCTCAGATAGTCCTCAGCAAAGAATACGTCCTCAGCCACCTCGACCATCTTCTGGGCATTGGCCATTTCCAGAAGGCGCGCCATAAGTCCCTCGCGGTGGTGCATACGTTTGGCGCACTGACGCGATCGGTAGAGGGCCTGAAGTTGAGGGCCTAATGGATGTGTCTGGAACGTGCGTCGTGCAACGCGTTTGTTGCCGCGCGTCTCGTAGCGCAGTTCGGTGCAGTCTTTGTCCGGGCAGCGGTCCAGATGGGCGTACGGGCCTGTATATGCTACGCAGGTCTGGGGGCACATATCAGTAACGATGGGGACAACACCGCTGAGTTCTTGTACGAGGTTTTGCATCGCCTCGTAAGTCGGGAGTACGAGCCCCTTGCTATAGTCCATCACCGCGGCCCTGTTGTCGCGATATGCCTTCTCCGAATATCCATTTATCACGAATTGCTTGAGCGCGAGGCGCAGTTCATCATTTTCGGGCGCCAGCAGGTCCGGTAGATCAGCGTCGCCCTCGGGGTGATGCATGCGATGTATGATTTTGGGATCCAGGCCAGATTGGTCGAGTGATGCGTTTTTGAGAGCCTTGATGAACCCGATGGCGTCCTTCAATTCTTGCAACGTAGGCTCGGGGAGCACTCCCGTGGGGTCGTGATTCCCAAATTCTGGCCCGTCGTCGGCCTGCTCCTCACCTTGCTCAGTAGCTTGCTCGTGTGCGGGGCCCTCCGGCC